ATACCGACATTCGCATACGTGTTTTACAATGTGTCTCACTTTGTTGAACAAAAACCAAGTGAGACAAATCATAAATCTCGCTTGCGAATCTATGTTCGTGACTCGAGAATACTACCCCTGGTCTAAAACAAAATTAAGAATATACCTATTATTTGATTACAAAATATTATTAGCGCTTTAGTAAGTTTTGTGCACATTATTTACCCATTTGCAAATTTTTGGTGTACTCACCTTTCTCCACTGCCGAAAATCCTTAGCAGGAGCCCCTGGGATAACAAATTATTAATTTCTTTCCAGAGTGCTCTGGATGTTTCCTTAGTAAATGTATTCGTTAATTTCCCCGAATACATCTCTGGATGCTTATCAATGAAATGTATTAATATTTCTTTTTATTTTGAGGTTACGTGCTTTTTTTGAATACTGTAGGAGATGTTTTGTGATTTTCAATCTGATTTATTATAAATTGTACTCTTTGTTTTGTAAATCTAAATCTTTTAAAAAATCATTATCATTCCAAATCTAAAATGGTTAGTCCTTTCTCTATAATTCTGAGGGCGTCGTCCGCCATCCAAAAAAAGTACCAACGATTTCCAAAACGTCTTTATCATCCGTTAAATCTAACATTTTCAACCCACAAACTTGCTTTAATCCGCCAAATTCGACCACTTACATTTGAACCGCCCTTAAGCGTTAAACTTGTCAAGTTGAACTGGATTCAGAGTAAAACTTGGTATGTACAACTAAGGCCTGATTGTATAATTCGAGTTGAACCTCGGTTTAGCATGAACCTGGTTCTTGGCGTTGTACAATACTAGGAGTTTCGTGATTTGATGTGTTCTAACCTGATTTTAAATGTCATAATAGAAAAATTATGAAAGTGTCTATTGGCTGTTTTGATTGTTTTAATGTTTTATAGTTTTTTGTTTTGGTATTGATACCCGTTTGTTTTTAAATAGTGCGAAAAACATTTTGTGAAAAGACACCATTAGTTTAATTCTTATTTTTTATTTATTTATTATTAGTGAATACATTGGTTTGACTCGCCTTAGCTCCGGCTACCTAAAAGTATTTTGTTACTTTGCTTGTTTGTTTCTTGCATTACCAGAGATGTTGCCTGTATTTCGACTTCTAAGGAGAAGGAGACAAAATCTCCTATCTATAAGAAATAGAATATCAAACAGACAACAATTTAATAGTTTTGATTTGTCACATGCCCGCTTTATTGAACTCTACCGTCTAGATAAAATATTAGCGAGGCAGCTTATAGAAGAGTTGAGACCGCATATTAGAAGTTCAACACAGCGAAGAGGTGTTACTATTGAGCAGAATAGCAGAATGTATTGTCTGTTTTAAGATTTTATGCCATTGGTTCCTATCAGCGCAGTATAGGAGAAGAATACAATACAAATATTAGTCAGACTTCAGCACATCGGTATATTCATAAAGTGACACCAGCTATTGTAGAAGTTTTTGGTCATATTATAAAATTTCCCCAAACCAGAGCAGAAAGAGTAGTTGTAAAACAACAGTTTATGGAAAATTTTGGATTTCCAGGTGTTTTAGGGGCCATAGATTGCACACATGTGGCTATTTTAAAACCTACTATAGAGGAGCATAATTATATCAACCGCAAAGGTAATGATTGTATTATAAACGTCAGTCAGAATTTTAATGTTATTTTTTTAGGATATTACTCCATTAACGCTCAAATTGTGTGTGATGCAAAATTAAAAATTGGAAATGTGAACAGTAATTATGGAGGATCAACTCACGATAGCTTCATTTTAGAGCGGTGTATTGGACTACTGAAAATTAATTTCAGGTGCCTTCTCAAAGATCAGCACGATATACTCCACAGTTTGTTGCTGAACTATTTGCATAATATGTGTCTTGATGCAATTATAGAAGTTATAAACCAAAATGAACATGACAACATTGAAGATAACATACCTGCTCTTGGAGCTGATGTTCAAAGACATGTAGCTGGTCATCAAGCCAGACAAAATTTATTAATGTTATATTTTAATAATTAAGTAATTTCTAACTTTGTGTTTTATCATTTAGTTTATGTAAGTTACTTAATTATGTATGCATTTCTTGACCTACCCAAAAAATGTTTTTATTAAAGGTTTAATAAATATTTCTCACAAAATAAATATACATCATTAATTATTTAGTTTTTATTATAAAAAGCATGCAAAAACAAAACTTACAAAGGTAAACTAATAGTCATACAGGGTGTCCGGGAAGTCAACGATAATACTAAAAGGGGTGATGGACCAATTCATAAGCTTTCAGAAAAACATAATATGACCTTATTAAAAAATTTATGGTTTTCGAGATATTGCCACTTTAATAAAATTCGTTAAAATGATCAGATTTTCGAGTGTCACTCCTAAAACAATGTATAATTCTTAGATTCTGATTTAGGTTTCGCAACTGCCATTTCATTAAACAAAGACCAAAATTGTACCAAAAGTTCAAAATATTCAATAAGAAATCTTATTTTACAGAGAAATAATTTATTTTTATTTTCCATCACTCAAGTTTAACACCTCATATTGTACAAAAAAACCATCGATTTTTTACTAAGGTCATATTATGTTTTTCTGAAAGCTTATGAGTCGGTCCATCACCCCTTTCAGTATTATCGTTGACTTTCCGGACACACTCTATAAAGAAAACGGTATTTAAAACCATTAAAAAATAAAAAATATACGAAACTGCTAAATAAAACTAATAATAAAATATATAAAAAAAAATCCTATGTAGAAAAAAAAACAAACCAAACTAATAAAATCTACAAAACAAAAATATACACCTACCTACTAAACTAAATTTTAAAATGAAAAATTATTTACTGCAATTACATTTATGTTTTAATGAATTGTTTATTTCAGTTAAATTATTATTAATGGCCTCAAAGCCACTGGCCATTGTATTTTTTATGTCCTTTAATACATTGAGTGTTTCTTCACACACACTGAGAGAACAATTTGTTAGTATTAAAGAAAATTTATTAACAGTTAACAAATAACTGTGTTGGATATGGCCTAAGTTATATAACTTTAATGTTAACAAACCATTTATTATTTGTTTCCAAATATATATTTTTTAACTATTAACAAATCATTATTTGTATAAAAATAAATATTTCTTAAATATTATCAAATACATTCTTATCTATTAATAAACCTTATTTCAGTAAAGTAATGTATATTTAACAGTAAAATTATCTTTATTTCATATAATGATTAATATGTTTAATGTTAGACTTAACTATTTTTTATGTAACATGTACTATTTAGTATTTAATTAACAAATTTTATTAGACAAGCAATATTTCTTTAATATTAACTAATATTTTTTATTATTTAGAAGCTTAGCAAATATTTCAGGTAGTGATTCTACTGCAAAAAAAAAATGAAATAAAACTTTATATAGGTTGAAAAATGGATCAAAGGGAAAGATTTTTAAAGGATTGTCCCTAAAAATAACTTTTTATGTTTAATTTTTATGAAATGACTTGCAAATTTCATTCAAATGTGTATATTAATCAGGGTCGACTTAAGGTATTTTCAGGCTCCATTTTTTGTTGACTTGTTTACCTATATTTTATTACCATTTTTTTTTCGTAAATTCACCCCTTGAGCTAATAATTTTCGGACACACTTATTGATGAATTAGGATAAGGTATGTTTAACAAAAAAAACTTTTAACTAATATTTTATTTATTAGTTATAAACAAAAACATAATTTCATGGTAGCGGTCAAAACATAAAAAAAATTTAACACTGAAAATTTAAAAATAAACAACTATTATGACCAAAACACATAAAATATTACAAACATAAAGTAATTATATTAATATGCTTCTAATGTGGCTTTTCCATAGACATAAATAATTTTAAATATACAGTGTTTACTTAAGTTGGAACCATATGGAAAACCTTTTTTATTTTTGGATTTATGAAAAAAAGGTATTCTTCATAAAAAGTTCTGCATGGCCTAAAACCCCAAAAAACCATCAGCTATCAAATTGTAAAAGTGATATACGAGGTTTGTCAAAAAATTCATATTGTTCAACCTTTATTTTTGACCAATCTCATATACGACTGTTAAAATTTGATACCTAATGGTTGTATTTCAAGTTTTAGACTATGTATATTTTTTATAAAGTACTTTTTTTCCTAAAATGAATAATAAAAAATTTTTAGATATGCCGCTAACTTACATAGACAGTTGACGGCATATGGAAAACTTTTATTATCAATTTTAGGGAAAAAAAAAGTATTTTTCATAAAAAGTTGCTCGTGATCTAAAACCTAAAAAGCAACCAATTTGACATCAAATTTTATAAGTCATATAGAAGATTGGTCAAAATAAAGGATGGGCAAAATCATATTTTTTGACAAACCTCGTATACTACTGATAAAATTTTATATATGATGGTTGTATTTTAGGTTTTAGACCATGCAGAACTTTTTATGAAGAAAAACTTTTTTTCATATAACCAATAATAAAAAAGTTTTCCATATGGTTTCAACTTAAGTAGACACACTGTATAATAAAATTAACAAAAGACAATTGTCCTTATGTGCTCGATAAATATCTATACCTTGTTTAAATTTATTGCATAATGTCCTCCAGGAAGTAAATGAATTTTATAGGACTGGATTTCAGCTAAATTTTCCAAAAAAATGTATTCAAATTTATTAGTATCTAAACTGACCATAAAAGCTGTTAATGTAGGATCAAAATGCAAAACCTTTACCCGTTTACATGAAAATAATATTTTATTATTTTCTGTACATATGATATTATTTATAAGGCCAAAAACTGGATATTCCAAGTTGCCAACAAACTGTGCAGCAGTGTCAACTTTAAAAGTTATGCCATTAAACTTAGTCCATTTAACTTCGAATGCCTTAGTAGTACCAATTAAATTTTTCAACTGTAGGTCAACGTTATCCACATCAATATACTTCATTTTGCCAAATTCAAATTTTGAACTGCAAACGATGACATACACGAAGTTGATACAGCAATGATAGAGTTTGTAATAAATTTACCCTAGATGTAACAATATGTGCATTGGTTTTCCCTATTTTATGAAATGCCTCAAATCTCATGGAAGATAAAGCATTTACAGGTCCCATTTTCTTAATAATATTTACATAGTGGGTTAAAATATGATATTTAGGTCTTAAATTATCATTAAAAATTTCAATAAACAAGCTATTGTGTTCTGTTATACAATGCTTTAAATATATTAGTTCTGATTTATCAATTTCATGTTTCATAGTAAAATATGCAATTTCATATAGCAGTAAATAAAATGTCCAACATGTATCTTCAGTGTCAATAAAATTAGTAACTAAAAACGGAAAATAAACAACTAATGCCAACATTTCTGCAGCAGACATGGTAAGATGTTTTTTTTTAATCTGTAATTTAATTAGTTGAGGAATTTGATTTCCAGTATCTACACCTTGATGGAAATCAAAATATTTAATTCTACGATTTAAAGTTTCTAAGGAAAAATATTTTTTATTATAAATAAACTCATATAAAACATAACCCATGTCATAACGACATACTCCCTCTAGCAAATCATGCATAATATCCACACAAACATTAGATGTTGTATGAAAATATTTCAAATTATTCATTATGCAATATTCTTGAATTCCATAAGATTTAGCATGTTCGTGTTGTAAATAATTATTAGGGTTTCTTAAATAAACTTCATTTTCTGCTCTTTACTTGCAAAACAAAAACGACAATAATATGTAGCTCGAAAACTTTCTGTCTGACATTCCTGTGAGAGAATTGACACCTAAATTATCGCCCAGTAGTGCAAAAAGGGTGAAATATACCGTTTTGCTCTCTCCATTGCATAATACTGTAATTCCATTATTTTCCAAATCTTGTAACTGAATAAAGAATCTGTTCAAAATGGCTGCATTTCCAAAAGCAACTTTATCTGCTGAATAGAAAAGTCCCCATAAAAATATATTTTCAAGTCTTGATGAAAACTGAGGTGGTATTCCCCCAATAGTAAAATAAATACCTCCAAGTTTGTGAATGCCGGCTTGCGTCCCTAGAGGATTACCACATTCAAAATCATCATAATACATAATTATGGGTAACAATATTTTATTATCGAATTTAGAACTAATTTTTTTCCACAAACTTGCATTAAACATACTTGAATAAGACACTGACCAATTGGTTTGCACCTCAATATGTTTCATAATTTCCTGAAAGATATTATCAGTTTGTAAAAATTCCTTCAATAATTTATGTATGGGGACTATATATACATAACACCATCTATGATCCAAAAGTACTGAACCGTTTTTGCGCTTATCCTCTCTAACTCGATCTATTTCAACTTTTTCTGCTTTTATAAATTTAGAAGAAGATTCTAGATATTTAAACCTATGATATTCGGATTGCATACCCTCTAATGGATTTACCGATAAATCCGACATTATATTTTCAAATATTTCAGGTGGAATTGCTTCAGTGTTAGCAGAAATAATTGCCATAGTATTTCTTAGAACGTCAGTAACCAACTCATAGGTGTTTTCAACCACATCTTGAACACATTTTCGTGTAACGTTGGGGTTTCTATACAGTTTCATTAAAAATGATATTATATAATCAGCAACAGATACATTATTTTCATTTTTAGCATTGGAAACATCCTGAGTTAGCTGAATATCAGATTCTAAACATTCTTTAAAATGCGTTGTAATGGTATGTTCAAATTCATGATTATAAGTTACATTATTTAATACGAGGTCCCTACAATTATGTTTAAGAATATGTTTTTTTAAAACTGGTATACTATTTGTCCTTTGTAAACAATGGGAAAAGCCACATACAAAGTATTCTAAATATTTATGTAAAGCTTTAGTATGGCATATAAAACCATCAACATTTTCAAAACTGATCATACAAATTTTACATAGAAGCATTGTTAAAAATTAAATAGGTAACAATTTTGTATAAAAAACAAACTATATTAGTAACACAGTTTTAAACTAGATAAAATTGCATTATTTGCTAATGCTAATTGCAAAAAAAATAAAAATGGAATCACAAAACCAAAATATATACAATTCTACTGCATATTTTTAACCTTACTGGCAATATCCAATATATTTATTGGGTATGGCAGCATCCCATTTTGTTTTTACATCATATATTGCCTGCTGTAGGAAAAACCAAATGTGCTCACTTTCTATTTGGTACCTTAGGTGGAGTACATGATATGCTTTAAAGCATGTGTCGATTGCCTTTAATATAGTTGGCACTGAATATAATTGTTCATTTATGTAAACATAAATGTTTCGGATTATTGTGCCACTGCCCTCTACCACTACAAATGGCTGCACGGGAATTTCTAAATGAGTCAGCTTTTCTGTTTTTGTTTTTATTTTTTCCTCTATCTCAGCTGGTGGTATCTACAAAAAATATGTCACAATTGAATTATTTCAAGTCATTTTTATTTCGAAAAAAATTAATCTGTACCACATATAATTTATTTAATAGGCAGATGATACTGGTTTCGGCCATCATCAGGCCTATAACCAAAAAATATACATTACAGGAAGACATACAAATAAAAGCCGAATTAAGTTGCACTTAGACCTATTCTATTAAAAAAATATATATTTACATCCAGTTGCAAGAAGGCTTGTTAAATCTCTCAGTGGCTAATGTTTATTTAACTATGTGTAATTTTACTTCAATGTCATTAAGGCAGATCACATTCTCAGGCTCTGTCAATAATAATAAACTTTGACGTAGCTAGCGAATGTGACCTGATCTAATGACATCAACGTCAAATTATGTATAGTCTAATAAACATTTGCTATTGAGAGATTTAACAAGCCTTTTTACAACTGGGTTTGTTTTATTATTCTTATTGAGCAAGTGGACATTCGAGTCATATGGATAAATTTTCATCATTTTTTTGTTAATTTTTATTGGTTCAAATATGAACACATGTCTAACTTTTTTTTATTTCTATTGGTTCAATTAAGAACCCAATTAAATATTTGATTAGACAAAAAACTACCATCTGGTATAGTTTAAATAGTGAAAGAACTTAAAATAACTAACCTCAGCTCTCAGTACAACTCCTTCCCTTGAATCTGCCACGGTCGGTTTCCAATGTTTTCTAGCCTTGCCATATAAGTGGCGTGATCTGTTCGGAAGTAATGAGGCTAATAATGTTAACATAACATAATGTTTATATTCTGAAAATATAAGTAATACTAAAGTATTAAATTTAAAATTTCAAGGAGTATAAATTAATGTAAAAATAGTTTTATAATAATACACAATGGAAATGAATATATACTCTTACCAATATCCACATGTCGTGCTTCCAAAATGTCTATCAAAATTTTGTCATTTTGGGATGTTACCAATTTTGACCGTAACTTTATTAAATTGGTAACCACAGTCTCCCACTTTTCAAATAATAAATCTCCCTTGTCAATAAATATTTTTTTGAAGTCTCTGTCAATCTACAAAAAATAATATAAATTTAAAAATACATTATGTTCTGGTATGTAAGTATACATACTTTCAGATTCATTTATAAAACCAGTTACAAAATGCGTTATTTTGTGTAACGGGCAAATATTTGTGGGACGAGCAGGGCGAGTTCTCACAAAATAAGGGAGTTACACAAAGTGGCATTTCGTAACGTATTAAATACAATATTTTTTTCTAATTTTAAATAGATTATTTATAAAAATAAGATGTTTGGTAAGACGTTACTGACATAAATTGTTGAAAATAATAAGTAAACTTCAAATCATCTGACAATCATAAATAATAAGTTACTAATGTGATGCTTTTAAAGTTTAAATTCATATCAGTGTGTTAAGTTAAGCAGTGTTTTGATTATTTTATGGATTTTTAGAATTGAACAAGACTGTTTAAAATAGCAACGGAACCATAAATAAAATTACTAAATAATTATTGTAAGTTCACTAACAAAATATATTTTTATATAGCCCCAATAATCTTTCCTTCTTCAATATAAACTTTAGAAGCAACATATATTATTGATTTTAAAACCAAAACAAGTTTATTTTTATGTTTTCTTTCACAACTAATGACATAATGTAACTAGTTACATAATATTCAACATTATGTAACTAGTTGCATAAAGTAGATCATTTTGACCCTTGCTGCGATTACGAAAATTGTCACTTTATATGTCAAAATTAGAAAAAATATATTATGTTGCTGTTTCAAAATTAGTTAGGTTAGTCATACCATTCTGATGAATAAATAATTGGAATTATTTTTTTATCATGTCATGTGAAGGTACTAGTAATTGTACCAATACCTACTTTAAGTATGTAATAACTTTTATCAATATTATGTTCAATTTTTAACTACTTACCAACAAAAGTCCAATGTGGTTCTTTAGAACAGGATATTCTGAAAAAACATTATAGGTGTTGTTATCTTTTATTAATTTTTCTCTTCTGTCACTGAAAAGGTCATCCCAAATTCTAGTGGCTGCCTATTATGTTTGAGCCAAGTTATATTTTCTGTTGTTGTGGTATCATATAATACTATAGGCTGATCTAAAAAAGAAAGTTGGAATTAAGAACCTTATTAAATATCTGATAAGACTAAATGAAAAACAAAAATGTCTTTCATTGTTAAGAGTAAAACAAGATGCTTAGTGAGTTTACTGAAAGATCTCACCTTGGTTTTTATTATCTTTGCTGCGACAGGGCAAAATTCCCGATTCCCTTAGAAATGTCAATTTATTACGGAATTTGTCCACCAACTTTCCCTTTGCCACTCCTGGCTTATTGTTAATTGACTCCCGCTTTCTAGTCGCTGGCAAATAATATGCCTCGCTGATTTCCGTCGGAAAAATATCTACAATGTTCTTAGCGATTTTTTTAAAATCATAATGGGACAAATGCCTAAAATTAAAACAAAAAATCATAAGGTATTTATAGTTCTGAAATTAGAAAATATACATCTTTTGACATCCATTACTTATAGGAAGTTTGACAAGATAAAATGTTTAACAAAATATAGTGTGTGTGTGGTTAATACTCGTGATGAGCCCAAATGAACTAGCTGCCAAATCACCACCAAGAAACATTCCTTAGCTATATATATTTCAAAATTTTAACTTGTCAAATTGATTAAGTATTAAGAGGTCAAAAACATACAGGATACATGGTAAATTAATTATATTTATCAATTTTTTTAAATATATATAGAAAATAATTAGGTTTATTATACAAAATTAAATTTCTTGAAGGTATTTGTTAAACCGAAACTAGTTTTACCTATTCAATATTATTTGTTTTTGTATTAGTATACATTTATTTATAGTATGTATTAAAACAAAACATAAAAACAATGATTATATATACCCTTAAAATTATAAAAGCTCAAATGTAATTTGATTGAATAAGTTAATTTTAAAGAGAAAAGCCTAAATAAAAGTAAAATTGGCTAAATTTACTAGAGGTGCAACTATTACAATTTTGAAGAATCAAATGTGATATTAACAAAATAAACAATATCAATACATATGTAATATGGTTATTTATTAGGTGGGTGGCAATTATATCTACTAAATAGCTTTGTCTGGTGCTATCCAAACTTCCTTTTATTTGGTACCAATTAATAAGGGCTTTACCAAAGGTCGTTGATCGCAGAAGCTCTTTTAAGTCAAATTTTGCCAGCAAATTACTCTCTAGTGAAGCTTCAGCATTTGCCACTTGTTCAGTACAAATGGGCAATGATGGCACTGATGGAACCACTATTATAGGCGCATTTTCGAAGCATTCTTCAATTTCGAATATAGTTTTTTCCTCATCTAAACTGTAAATAAAAAAATCTGATGTGTACAACACATGACTTTCCTATCTAGTTTTTATGTGCTTTTCCCAGTTATTTTGTACATACATTTTCCAGACACATCTTACTCGAAACATTTTTTTATATTTGGTGTTTTTTCCGTTTTTGAACTGAAATTGGAAATTTGCGGTTTTCCTCAAATATCTCGAATACGGTCCATTTTAGGGAAAATCGTGTATTAAACAACAATTACAGAAAATAACATCACAAGCAACTTTTATTTGAACAAGTTTTTTAAAAATTCTTAATTTTGCATGTTTTGTAAAATTTATAGAATGCAGACCTTTTAAGGATAATTTTGTAAGGCACAAAAACTATAGAAAATGATATTGCATAAAACTTTTATTTAAAAAAATTCTTCTCCAATTCTAAATAACGGATATTCATTAAAGTAAAAAAATGACCCCCTATAGAGTACTCCCACTACTATGGTAGCTCACCACTGAATGTATTTAAGCTCAAGTTTAAAATTTGGTGTTTTACTCTATCCATTTTTGAGTTATCTTCAAAATTTGAAATTTCCACGTTTCCTCAAATATTTCAAATACGGTCCATTTTAGCGAAATTATGTATGGGGCAAAAAATATACAAGCAACTTTTATTCAAACAATTTTTTTAAACATTGAATTTTGCATTTTTTGTTATATTTCTCGAATGCACACCATTTTAGGAAAATTACTTATATATAGGAAAAAAAAAATATTGCAAACAATTTTTATTTGAAGAAGTTTCTTATCCAAGGGTAAATAAGATAGATTCCATTAAAAAAATGAATTTTGCACTTTTTGTCAAATTTCTCGAAAATGGATACGCTCGCGCGCACACACGCACACCCACATTCACCGCGAGAAAATACTTAAAAACGAATTAAAGGGACCCCAAAATGCAAATATCCGCCAAAAACTCGAGGTCGAAAAGAAAAACATGATTACTATAAATAAATAATGAAAACATTGACTATTTGCTTACTTGTTAATATCTACTGAAGAGAAACTGCTTGGGATTTCATCTGGAGTATTGTGTTCTGTAGTATCACTGCTTAAATAGGATTTGATCTTGTTTTCCAAAATTAGCCTTTTACCTATTTTGGGAACAATAATATCCAATATTTTGTTTTCCAGAACAGAGGGCAATAGGTCCGGGGTAATCTCTTGTTCTTAAAAAAAGAAACAAATATTATTTTCTTATGTATCAAATAGGCATTAAAGAAAAACTATTAGTTAAAGATCCAAACAAATAAAGGTATATAAATTCCTTTGCAAGTAGCCAAATAATTTAGTTTTTCAAAATTACCTTTAAAAAATAATGAGAACTAGTTTTGAGCCCCCAGAGAAAACAAATTTAATTAAAAATTGAAAAAATTCTGCCCCTTTTTGGGAATCGAACCCACCTATTGGTGTTCCACTTATACTACCTTAACCATTCGACAATAGGGACATGAGATATTATCAGACTTCCATATTGTTAATTTGAATATAAGGTTTGAATCCGAACTCGGTGACAGATAATTTCCAATTTTTCAGAAAACTACTATTCAGTATCGCCTAGACAAACATGCCGTGAGCATGATTATTTTGGAACAAAAATGTATACACAGTTGAGGTGTAGACTCATTGCTTAGAAAAAAAAAATGTTTTTTACATTTTGTTTTGAAAATAAGTATTACATTTTTAAGCAAAAATAGATATAATTCAAAACAACTATAAAATTAATATCCCATGTAGTCCTTAATTTAAAACATAGAGGGCCTTCTCTAATGTGCACTACTTAAACATTTGTAAAAATAGAAAAAAAGATACCCAGATTCTTAAGAGTTATAGAAAAAACATTTTAATTAAAAAAATTTTAACACCCTGTATTTCTAAAATCATTACTGGACCCATCTATTATATTCTTAACTCTCATAAGTCATTCCTCTCTCATTCATCACTCTAACCAATACAATTTAAATAGAAAAATACCAAAAGTAGGTAGGTATGTTACATCATTGAAAAGGTAATTTTATAGAGAATTTAGCAATTATGTCTATTCTTTTCTTTTAAGCGCCCTCCAGTAGGATAAAAACTGTTATATATATTGTAAAGTGTGACACCTCATTTGAAAGCAAATTTTATTATTTATTGCACAAAATAACAAAACATATTTGAATGAAACAAACTTAAATAATAGAAAAACGTTGCAGAGCTCTAACGTTGATAAATACAAACTCTAATTTATGCTACGCATTAAATTACTATTCAAATTAGCTTTCAAATAAAGTGTCACAATTTCCAATACATAACAATCCCGTCAATGGGTGCTAAAATCAAAAGTAATGCAATTTAACATACATATTGTTGAATTCCCAATAAAATTACCTTTTCAATAATGTGTCACACTTGGTATTTTCCCTATTTAAATTTTATTGTGTACATACCAAATTCATGAATTTCAAGGAAAGATGGGAGGAAACAAGAAGCTGGAGCGTCGCTAAGAAACTTCTAAGTTATTCTGACAACACTACGCCAAATAAATACTTGACCATGACTAGACAGACTTAGTGCCTGATCACAGGCATGCTGACCGGTCATTGCCAAGTACAGAAGCATCTCCACAACATGGGGCTGTAAGAATCCGCACTCGCAGAAGGTGCGAACAAGAAGATGAGACTATCGAGCACATCCTCTATGATTGCCCGGCGCTCTCATTTGTTAGAAGATTTGTGTTCTGTGAGAATTGGCTAACACCGGCTGATATAAGAGAAGCACCCCTTGGCGACGTTGTCAACTACATTAAATCTGTAGGCTGGCTCACGAGCTAGAAGTTGCCTATCGACTTATGAGGATATACAATGGGCCTAATAAGGCCTAAGTGTCGTGGGGGTAACCCACATTCCACAGGTTACAGATACAGAGATACCAAATCCAGAGACCTAGCCTTCCCACAGGCCTTTTCACATCTATTGTGGATATTCTTTAATCATAGTCTGTCTAGTTTGATCTTTTGCAGTAAATCTCATAGACTAGAAAGTATCTTTCTGGTATAACTAGTTGCCCTTAGTTTTTCTTCTCGAAGTGTAAGAAATCTGTATCGAAAGACCTTCGTAGTAGTACAATATGTATACAGTAGTTTCCTCCTCTTCCTGACAAAATCGGCACAAGGTATCTTCTACCAGGCTGATGTTATATGTTTGTTAAGCTTAAAATGTCCTGTTAATAGACCTACTGCTAATGGTCCTTAATCAGACACCCTGTACAATTGAGTTTAGATACATACAATTCAAATAAGAAATACCTATAGAGGTAGGTATAAAAAAAGTAAAATATTGGGAGTTTTATTAATATAGATACTTACCCATGAATATATCCACTAAATCAGGCAAATTCCAAGAAATAAGTAGATTCTCCATGGCCCCTATAGTATTCATTTCTTTAGTCTTCATATTAAAATAAAAAAAAAGTATTAGTGACAATGCATGAGTGACTCCGATAAAAATGTACCTTCAATACCTATTCGCCGTGTAAGTACTTTTTCAAAAAAAAATTCTAGCTCTAAGAAATTGGTACAATTTTGGAAAAGTAATTTACCTATTTATTAAAAAGACGTTTTATTTTTTACCAGTTGGTGGTTGGTTTTAAATAATTATTTGCAACTTGTTTGTATACCTACTTAATAAACTAAGTAAAAGCAACACCAGCTGAGGCTGGGGCAGTAAAGGATTAGAAAAACTGTTTTCTTTCCAGGTAAGTGTATATATATATATATGCAAAATGCCTTATACACCTCCAAAATATATGTTTTCAAAGAATACGCCTCAAAAATCGGAGGCGACTTCGAAAAATCGGAGGCCAAATCGAATGTATGTGTATAACAGGTTCATTTATGTTTTTACAACAATGGGAGGTGTTTGCCAAATTTTTTGTCGGAGGCCATTTCGTGACATACACATATACAGTTACACAATGAACTTGGCCGATTTTCCACTACGCGGCGCCACCCTCTAATACACATATATAGGCACATACTTGGGCAATACGAATTAGCCTTTAAGTAGTCTTCACGCCAATGTACCTCCTAAATTTGGCAACAATG